CTATGTAAATTGCTTAAAAGGCCATGCAATTATTTTTTTATTCAACAAACACATTATAAATCGCAGCCTTACGGCTGAATTGCATTATATTTACAATAAAAAAAGTAAGTTTATGCAAATATTAATTAATTAAGAACAACATCTAAAAATGCAATGGAACATTCATCAATTGGAATAAAGTTAAAGATTTTCAAACAGAATACTTCAAGGAATAAGGATAGAGAAGCAAGCACATGATTTATAGCATGCACTGAAAGATTTAACATTTTCAAACGTTAATAAAATGCCGAGCAATTCGGAGCAAAGTGGTTAAATAAATCTTCAGCATGTTGTGTGCTCAACAATCCATGTTAAGAACATTCAATCAGTCGAGGAACGGAATTATTACGACTGTAGCTATTTAATACAATGACATTGGTTCAACCTCCTTTAAATATTAAATACACTACAAATAATAACAAGAAAAACATGTTCTTGTTCTGTATGCAGATGGTCTATGGCCCTGGTTCTTAATTTGTTTGAAGGAACAAATTATTTTTAAAGTTGATCTCATGGGCCAAATATAATTTCCGCCTTGTCTAAGCAATTGCATCTGGGAGAAACCCTTCCCACTATTAAAGATAGGTCTATTTGAAAGGGTTAATACACCAGCAGTCATGACCCATAATTGGGTTACAGGAAATTTTTGTGTGGATGTGTCATCAGTTAACAGTCGTTAGTGAAATATGGTGGGTATTTCTTATGGTATAAGAAATATGGTATTTCTTCTCCCTGGGTGCTCACTCACTACAAATTTTCAAAGTAAAAATATTAGACTCAAGCAGTTTATATAAAAATTACCTCACACCACCTCATTTTACAGCTACCACCCTTCACATTCTCTTCACAGACCCCCACCAGCCCCCTTTTAAACTGTTCAATACACTACTGGGCTTTGGGTACCATTGTAAGTTGTGGACTGCTTAAAATTTGTTAAAGGTTGACTCATGATCATAAAACTGAAGGGGTTTCCAAAACAATACAAATTGTGAAAAGTAGTTTTTGATATGGTTTACAATGAATATTCTAAGACATTAAACAGTCTTAATGCAATAATTAGTATTAAACAGATAAGAATAAGATATTGATTTTTAAATATTTAAAACATATTAGAATATCTATATCAATTTCTTCCCCTAATTTGGCTCCAGGCACCGTGCATACTCATGCTGAAATAACATCACATGTATCGCTTTGAATGCAAATTTCAGCATGCATCAATCGTTCTATTGCTGTATTTTTATTCTCATGCTCCGATGTTTATTACATACTGTACATACGTACTAATTACAAGGACAGTTTTCATAGACAGCCATTGTGGATCTCATTACGTGGAGATGTACTGTACAGTAGTAGGTTGGTAGTGAAGATGCTTGCCTTCAAATCTGAGGGTCCAGTGATCAAATCTTGTGACATCACTATATTTTTAATTAAAAAACATCTCCCCTCCTTAATGAGTTAAGATCATCACATTATTACATAATATCATTTATTTAATCCCTGATTATCAGTCAACATTCTAGAATCGACTAGAAGGATTGCCATTCTATACGAACGGTATTAATAAATTGTGATTGAAAAGCAGGAATTGATTTGTACAGTCACATTAAACAAACCCTGTAAAACACACATTGTTAATGGCTGAAAACGACCCACTAAATCCACCCCTTCTTTAACATGTTTAAGGTGGTGGCTCCCCCTATGGATCCACCCAGAAAATATTCATTCTGTGAAGCCCAGTCGGCCAAATGCTGCAAGTCTAATTTTAACTCTATTCCGCAAACCTTATAACATTGAACAAAAACACAAATGATATTCTAAAGCATTAAATACTGTTTTGTCTTTAATTGTAATTTTAGAAAGGCCGTTGCAAATGAAAGTCAAATTACTTTTTAAATTAAGAAGAGCCACTAATAATTTTGTTTATAATGTTAAAGCAGGTAAAGATACTATGCCTACTGGTAAATAATATGGTAAAATATGGTAAGATATAGATTATACAATTCATGCTAAAATGTTGTGATGGATGTAGTCTGTAGACATTCCTTATTCGTCACATATTGACTTATTTTAGTGATTAAAATGGTCACTTTATAATGTATTTCATTCCATTATATTTAGTGACAAACATACGTTTATATCAGCCGCAATCACTGAAGTGGTACGCTACTACATACTGAATACTCTTCTTACTCCTTTCACTGTACTGTACCAATATAATTTGAAAAATGAATTCTCACGTGTGGCTTTTGTAGCGTGACAAGTTCTCGTCCAATATTTTGTAGATTCGTAAAATGGTTTTATATATATAGACATAAATAGGAGCTCCAAATACGCCAGTAATAATAATACATTTAAAAGAATGGTGCTACGATATACTTCTTCCCGAGCTGTGCAAGTGTCTGGACAGAAAATGGGCACAAATATTAAGGCCTAATACTCAATTTATAATATAGACTGACGATTTACTGTGTGTATCTTAAATGTTGCTTAAATACAAACAAAGAAAAGAGCAACCCAACAACATTGCACTGCTTTCGGAAATACTTCTCCCAGCTCCATAATTTATAGTTGTCAAAAAATAATCATTAATTTAAAGCATGATTTTGTCTATTTCATTAGATATACATAGCTTATTCCTACTTTAGTAAGTTCAAATCCATTGAAGTCTGTAAAATGGATCTTAACTATAGATCTCTTAGGGCCAATAAAAAAAAATATTAGTTTATCACCCTCACATGCATTTCTTTTATGGTATTGAAAAACCAAATATTTTTGAAAAAAAAAAGTTATTTTTTGGAATTTTTTTTTTTTCATTTTTTTTTAAAATTAAATAGTTAGTAGTATACTGTTTGTATTATCTCATTCATGTTTTACTTTGAATATCAATGCACCATCAAACAACCTAAGGGTGATATTTGGCTTTAGCAAAATTTAAAAAAAATTAAAAAATTCTTTTCCAGCCTAGATAGGATGATAAACTAATAATATTTTTAATAGGGCCTTAACACAATCTGTCAAAGTGATTTGCAGCACAGATGAGATGTGTGTGTCTATTGTAGTACAGGATCTGTGAAATGCATGCTGTCAGTCCAATACAAGATACAGATCTTTATTATTATGCAGAAACATAATTGTTCTTAACCATTCTAATAATGTTTTAAATCATCATACAAACTGAAATAAGACTATAATTATGTAAATTTTTGATATCATATCATTTGATATGATTATCTATCACTTGTCAAGATGCAGTATATATTTTACTATTATTTTTATCATAATATTTCGACCAACACCTCCGTCATCATCATCATTATCACCATCATCATTGATTATTAATATAATATTCCACCAAGGATGCAGCATTATAGACATGTAACAAATCAATAACTGAATAATTTTTTAACCTATATAGTACAGTAGGTGAATTAGTACAGTATTTCTACCTTCATACTACATTAGGCACAAATCGTACCCATATGTCTACAACCTGTTTTTTCTTGGTCAGGAGATGTGTATAAGAGACAGGATCATCACATTATTACATAATATCATTTATTTAATCCCTGATTATCAGTCAACATTCTAGAATCGACTAGAAGGATTGCCATTCTATACGAACGGTATTAATACCCGCCCTTGGAAACTTGCCCCATAAAAAAATGTACACTTCCTAGACCATGCAGTCTTCAAAATAAAAATTGTAACCTTTGGTAATCAACTACATTTTCCACATACATAGAAATTTTTGAAACTTTAGTTAAAAAAACCTAAACCATAATTCACCACACTATAGACACTTTTTGACAAAAATGAAAAATTATGACTTTGAATACCCAATGAGAAGTTACCCAATGAGAAGTGTTCTAATATAGACAATGGGTCGTGTCTCATATTATTTGTTATAGTTTTATTATTCATTATTTTCACTTGACTCGCATAAATAATTTTGTTCGAAGAACATTTATATGTAGTTGTACTTCGCAGCACTTCACTTGCAATTTGCAATTTCTAGTTTATTTAATAGTTAGTAGTATACTGTTTGTATTATCTCATTCATGTTTTACTTTGAATATCAATGCACCATCAAACAACCTAAGGGTGATATTTGGCTTTAGCAAAATTTAAAAAAAATTAAAAAATTCTTTTCCAGCCTAGATAGGATGATAAACTAATAATATTTTTAATAGGGCCTTAACACAATCTGTCAAAGTGATTTGCAGCACAGATGAAATTTGTGTGTCTATTGTAGTACAGGATCTGTGGAATGCATGCTGTCAGTCCAATACAAGATACAGATCTTTATTATTATGCAGAAACATAATTGTTCTTAACCATTCTAATAATGTTTTAAATCATCATACAAACTGAAATAAGACTATAATTATGTAAATTTTTGATATCATATCATTTGATATGATTATCTATCACTTGTCAAGATGCAGTATATATTTTACTATTATTTTTATCATAATATTTCGACCAACACCTCCGTCATCATCATCATTATCACCATCATCATTGATTATTAATATAATATTCCACCAAGGATGCAGCATTATAGACATGTAACAAATCAATAACTGAATAATTTTTTAACCTATATAGTACAGTAGGTGAATTAGTACAGTATTTCTACCTTCATACTACATTAGGCACAAATCGTACCCATATGTCTACAACCTGTTTTTTCTTGGTCAGGTTTCTTTTTATGTGTGTGCAATGAAGCCTTTATAATAATTACTGGGTTTTAACCTACTTGGGTGTATTTCTTGCTAGGATTTTTCTAATTTTAAAGAAAAACAGAATTATGTTAAATAAATACATTTTCCCACATTATTTTACCTAATTTCATTTTCATAGGTATTTTATTTTTCATTTTGGGATTAAATATTCTCCACTCTATATAAAGTACAATCCTATACAAAATATTTGTGTTACAATATTTAACCACTTACCTCATCTTCTACATCAGCTATATGTTGTGACTCAGGAAAAAATGTATAAAAAGTTGTTTTTCTTCCAACATCTTCAGCAAAGTGTCCTCTGGAAATGGCCCTATTAAGCCTAAATTAGGTCAAATATTGTAAAGTAAGAAATAGTAAATGTTAGAAGGTTGCATTTGAATTCCAACATGATGGTTCAATACAGATCAATAAAACCTAGGCCTAGTATTCTATGTTTTAGCTTTTTATAATATTGTATTTTATTTACCTAAAACACTGAGACAGTGTTTATTTTGGAAGGGTCAACAGGGTAAGTATAATTAAAAGATCTCTACCACTCACTGACCAAAACAATTAAGCTGCAATATGTGAACAAATAACAAAACAAACACTTACAGTAGATACAGTAATCTTAATAATTGACATTATTTTGTTCATGTTAATCCCAGCTGTCTCAAATAACAGGTGTTTATAATAGGCCTACTGTATTTTTTGACTATGAAAATGTTTTATAAAACGACAGAGTTGGTTGGAGTTGGTTGGTTTGTTGAACTTTGCTCCTTTCCACATTGAAAAATTAATTCCTTAACAAACTTTTCTCTAATCTCTTAAAAACACAATCATTTAAAAACAAGCCCACACTAATCCCAAACTGTTCCCCTTTAAAAACTCAACCTCGAAAAAGACAACACCCCCCCCCCCCCCCAACAAAAAAAAAAAACTACCACTTCTACAGTAATGCACAGATGAATACCAGCTAGGGGCATTCCACTTAGTAGACCTCATGTTCAACAGTGATTTATTTATATTTTCCTTTCATTTTCTTAATCTTATCTTTGTTGCTTAATTATTTATTATGGTATTGGAAGACAGTGAAAGCCAACTTTTAAATAAAAGACTTCACAAATGATTGATGAACTGGTTGAAAATTAATGATTTATAACTATATAAACCTTTAAACATTATTCATTACTTACCTGAAAACAACATCATGACTATCGATCTCTGGGCCTGCATTTGATCCATTAAGAATGCCACCACATCCAACCACAGCACATCGTACGCAGTTCTGGGGATTGTCTCTTAATTTCAGCAATGGGTTGGTGAAGTTAGGATTATTTAAAATTCTGCCAATAACTGTAAAAGAAAATAATATAGGTCATAACACATTTACTGCAGAAGAAACAAAAAGTGGGTGGAGGCATTTCTCACTGAGCTAAGTAAAATCTGTACCAAGCCAGGTTTGTTTTTTTAGGTTTATCTTTACTAGTACTTCAATTGGAATTATGTATGTAAATACCGTGGTTTAAGTCCTCAGGATTTTTTTAATTGTATCTTTTGATATTTGCAAGCAATAAGTAAACAAAATATAAACAAATAAATAAATGTGGCTTGACAGCAGTTTTGTTGTAATCTGCAGACGTATTTTTATTATGGCCTGAAATTGATGTCGGTAAATGTAATACTGTATTGGCTAGTGATTTCACTAAAACTTCAACCATTACTACGATTATCTATTTGACTTTTATCCATAAAGTATGTTTTGATCAATCAAAGTGTCAAATCAAAACTGGCACAGTACTGTATAGAAATATCAAAATATCACTTTTCCACTCTGACCCACCTTTTCAATTGGACTTTATCATTACAGTTTTATGACAGATAAGAACCATCAATGATTCACAGTGGTACTCTTTACAAAACCGATAATTACTGTACTTTCAACTTTGTTCTACAAACTCCTGGTTTTACATTAAACAATCTCAAAATACGGTATGGAAACTCAGAATAATATATTAAATGCATTTGGTACACCACATAGATAGTTCTGAAAAGAACTGTTGTTTTTGTTGAGAATGTCTTGATATTTTGCTTCAATCGTCATTAGGAGATCTGCAAACCTTCAAACGATAACTCAAAATAAGTAAAGAAGGCAACAGGGGTGGTGCCAGGATTTGCCCGAGGTCCCCGACGAGGGGGCTGATGCCCCGACGAGGGGTCAGGCTTCCCCGACGAAAGCAAAGTGGGCGTGGTCGAGCTTCGATTATAAAGTTAATAAAAGTGGTCCTGGGGGCGAAGACCCCGAAAATCTTGACAATTTAGGGGTTTCAAAGGCTTTATTTAATTGATTTTATAGTCTACTAATATGTAGAAAATACATATATATTTTTTTTTCTCCCCGACGGGGGCCCTGGTCCCCAGCCCCCCACCCCCTGCTGGCGACACCTATGGAAGGCAACTGTCGTCCTTAGTAACAGTATTACTTTTCATGTATTTTTAATTCTCAGTGCCAGATTAAATACAAAATAGCTATAAATGAAAAATCCAATACTGTTTTGTACAACAACAATGTACTGCACTTAAAATTATAATTTACTTTAGCTGACTACAAATCTTAACACCACCAGTAAATTACTGTATAGAAGACAAATATAACTAACAATGAGATACAGCTGTCACAGACAGTGGTCGGCTAATTAACAAAGAAAATATTTTAACATTTCTTTTTTAATTTGAATGTGTACCTTACTGTTCTGTCATCAAACTAAGTCAAGAGATAAAAAAAAATAAAGTAATTATGTTATTGTAAAAGATTAAATGTAAAACAGGAAATTTTTCATGCTTGTTGCAGCAAGGACATATCATGCGGGGTCCTGCATTAAATCTTTTTAAAAGTTATTTGACTAACCGTTTAAAATCAATGCACTAAGTATGCCAATTTTTCTCCTGTAACATGTGGCATCCCCCAAGGTTTATTATTAGGTCCTCTTTTATTTATTTTGTACATTAATGACATTTACAGATCTTCAAATTCCCTCTCTTTCTTTCTTTATGCTGACGACACAACTGCATTTTATTCTTCCAAAGATATTCATTCTCTTTTCCATACTGTAAATCATGACGCTCATGTCTCAATATTTTGCATGTAACAAGCTACAGTATCCATTTATCATAAAAAAATGCAGCTTCATTCTCTTTCGGAGCCCTCAAGAGGACAAATTTATTGACTCAACAACATACTGCATAACATTTTTATACATAGATAATCATGTTATACCTCAGGTCCAAAGTGCCAAATTTTTTATAGGAGTTTACCTGGGTTAATTTGGAAAATGCACATTAAAGAAATTGAAAACAAAGTTTCCAAGAGCCTTGGTGTCATTTTTAGACTTTCCTCATTTATCCTTCCCAACATATTACTTATACTGTACTGCTCCCTGATCCTTCCTTGTCTGACCTGTTGTAATATTGTATGGACAAATACCTACACATCCAACCTCAACAAACTCTTAACCATCCAAAAAAAAGGCAGTCAGGGTTTATGTGGCTTTTCATCGTGATCTCATTCTTCTCCTTTATTCTTGAATTTTAAATTTCTTAACATTATGATAATAATGCATTACAGCAATCTATTTTTTTATATTCTGCTATTAATTCTCTTCTTCCTTTATTTTTGTAATACTGTATGTTTAAACCTTCCTTTTTCATTCATGAGAATCATACAAGAGCTACAGTAGGTCATCAATTTACATCCAGACCCACAAAACGAATTACTTCCAAACATATTAGATTTTCTAAACCCAAATTATGGAACAACCTACCTTCATCAACTGTTAACTCTGAATCACTTAAAATTTATACAGCTAAATTTAAAAAATCACCTTTTTTTATTTTTTATTTTACTTTATTTTTTTTTGTATTTTATGTTCTTGCTGTTGTGTTTCGTCCTTGTGCTTTGTCCCGTTTCCTTTTTCTGTCCTTGTTCACTATGTTTTTTGTTTTAATTTAGGCTGGCCCAACACAAGATTTGCTTCAAATCTTTTTGGGCATTTGCCTTCTTCCCTTTCCGAATCTGCATTTTTTTGTGTATGAAAAAAATGTGATTAAATTTTTATTACAATTTTCCATAAATAATATTAGGATTACATGAGGAAGTAAATAAATGTTTCTTTTGAATTGAATTGAATTGAAAAAAGGGAAAATGCTTCACCAATCAACTCACCCTCTCGTTTGTGTGACCGTAAACCGAAAGGAGCACTGTAATGCGACAGTTTATAAAAATTTGTGAAGTTGTTGACATCTTCTTCATCCATAAACAGTTTGATATCTGGAATGTAGCGATCTCGGAACCAACTTGAATATTTGGTTATTTGTGATACAGTCTTTGGACACGTCTACAGGGGAAAAAAACAGAGTGATATACAGTTTAACAAATTTGACACATTTATATCAAAACATGCACTAGTTTAATTAGTCAGTAAAATTAAATATTGCAAAAAAAGACTTAAAATTTATATTTATTTAAAATTATAATTTATTTCTATATTATTAATCAGTAATTTTACTATTCCACCACATTTCATATCATCACCATTAACTCTATCAATCGATTATCACTGTTATCTTATTATAACCATCAACACTTAACAATTCCATTAGCCTCATTAATATACAATAGCACCTCCCCCTGTATCCCACAATCTAACATTAAATTTAAAATCACTTTAAAGTACCTAAATATATAGTTACATATAAATTACTGTAAATTGAACAAATATTGTATAAGTATAGCTGTGTTTAAGCCACCATTAAATATAGTGAAAATAGAAGAAAGGTGACTTGGCAAGGCCACCTTTCCAAGTTTGTGTTTTTAAAGTGACAATATTTATATTTTAATATATTGTACAGTTCCAAGTAACAGAGCTCCAGATTAAAGGGCCAACAAAAATGTAGTGTGTATACACTTACTGTACTGTAGGGTATGTACACCTACAATAATACCAATATTAAACAAATCTTGATTTTTGACTGATGATAAATTGTAGGCCTACTCTATATATAGTGAGATTTATAAAAATTAAGTGTAATAATGGTGAATATATTAAACATCCAACTATAAAGGAGGGATACAGTAGACCCCATGAGAAATAAACAAGTCTTGATAATAGTTTGTTAACCTTCATTTATCAACTGCAGGTCGTCTATGCAGGAAAATAAAAATAATAAAAATATTGTAGTAGTTTGAACTATAAAACCATTCATAAATCTTCTCTTAGACTTTATTAAGTATGTGATATAAAGTAATATATCATAAATTTAAAAAAAATGAAAAATAATGGTAAATACTTGTTGCAGAATTCTAAATAGCCAAATAAATGTTGTCTAAAGTATGTATAAGTACATATAACTACATGTATAAAAAAAAAATGGCTACAGCCATGTTTATATGTTAAAATCATCATCATTCTACAAATTCAATCCTAAAAAACATGTAACTCTAAAGCCCTAAACTCAAAGGAAAAATACACACATACACAGATTGTTATGAATAGCCACCATATACCAGATATGAAAGTAATTTAATCACAAAACCACTTTCTGTACATTTAGGCTTTGTGACAAGGAAATTATTCTCTAACAATAGTGCTTTGAAAATAGAAGAAAGGCCACTCCTAGTCATGTTTCACGTCACCTTTCTTCTTTTTTCACTATGTAGTATTTAATGGTGGCTTAAACAGAGCTACAGTACTGTATACTTTTACAATAATTGTTCAATTTTAAACAGTGAGTAAATTATTAGCGTCTGATTGTAGAGGTTTTCTATCTAGTTAAATAAAGACCGTATACAGTATATTTGAATAAACACCCCGGGGAGGGGGTTGCTGTTGAGAAGGGTTCTTGAGGGGGTGTTATTTGAGGGAGGCGTTTATTTTGAGGGTATAAAATGAATACATAACTCAAATAAATGCCCCTAAATTTCACTGTGAACAGAGCTACCGTATACTTTTACAATATTTGTTCAAATACAGCAAGTGAATTATGCATACAGTAACTGTTTATTTAGCGTCTGATTGTAGAGGTTTTTTATCTAGTTAAATAAAGACCGTATACAGTATATTTGAATAAACACCCCGGGGAGGGGGTTACTGTTGAGAAGGGTTCTTGAGGGGGTGTTATTTGAGGGGGTGTTATTTGAGAGAGGCATTTATTTTGAGGGTGTAAAATGAATACATAACTCAAATAAATGCCCTTAAATGTCACTGTAAATGTGGAACTACAACACATACAGTAATTACTGTCAAAATGTGTTATTGCGTGATAATAAAGACTTACTGATACAACCAGGTTAGAAAAAATGTAATTCTACTGGAGTAGCTTTAACAGAATGTGTTGAGATGTTGCTCCCATTAGATTTGTTTACAATCATTTAGGGGGGAGGGAGTGTTTATTCGAGGGAGACGTATTCCAAATGAGGTTCTAGAGTGGGCGATTATTCAAGGGGGACGTTTATTAAAATAAGGTACCTGTATGGTACTGTACTCCATTGTTGTCTCAAAAAACATTGCTGGCACATACTGTAAGCATCACACATATAATACTATAACTTTCTAAATCTAATTTGAAAAGTGAAGATAAACCACAGTTTGGGGTTCAAATGTTTTTAATTTATTTTTTATTATGGTTATTAGTGAAATTTTTGTTAAGAATATTGATATAGGAATTGCTTGTAGAGTGATACAAGTAAATACTGTACTATCTGATGATAAATAATAATTAATATTCCGTCAATTGATGCAAGGTACTGTATAGTATATTTAACAAGAAATCTAATCAAGTTTTGCTTTTTACTTAAGTTGATGCCAAAAACAATAAGGCACAAAAGAAACAGTAGGGAGATTTTGCAACCCTACAAAAATGAGAATGATTACGAATAAGTCATTAATCATATTGTAATTCATGCCTCAGACATTCTTTGCAATATGCTGTGAGAGCTGAATACTGTCTGATCCTTGATTCATGCAAAAGGCATGAAGTGCTTTACATTGTGACAGATATGCTACTTACTGTAGGGGAAAGGTTGTCAAAAAATTTGATGATAAACAATATTTGTTACGGTTCTCATAAGCAAGTCCCTAAATTGACACTGAAAAACCAAACCAATTTTCATTGACATTTCAAACCACAAAAGAACTACAGTACATGATTACTACTGTATATTGTTTAATGAACAAAACATTGATATCAGTTGCTCATTTATTATCAAATAATATCGTATTTCACACCAACAGATTAGTTTTGGAAATTTGAGTTCAGTTCTTCATAGTCATCAATTTCTTATTATTTGTGGGCTTCAGTTCATTAATCATTCAAGATTTTCTCAAATAATTTTTATACTTCACTGTACAGTACATTACAAAATAACCAATTTTAATTTTTTTTTTAATTTTATTAAAATTTTAAATAAATATATTTTTTTCCCTGAGTAACCTGATCAGTGTAAAAGCATATTTTTATCCTCAAGGGCCCAGTAAACGAAAGATAGTTTGGTGTGCAAATATGCATTAATCCTAAAATTATAATACTGTACTATGTTAAGCATTCATTTCTATTTCAAATCCAAATATTGGTACAGAAGATGATCCCATTCAGCATTTATGACATGTATTAATTAAAATAATAATGAGCTGATAATGATGGCAGTCAGGACAGCACAAGTACAGTATTGATTACAATAAACCACCATCATCATTATAGATTCATGTGTTGACTTTGGCATGGAACACACTGTGATGAAGGAAGATTTGTGATCATGAAGGATCACATAGCGATATTGTACGCTAAAGATGATTCAAGATTTTTATGACGATAGGCCTACTCCTACAGTAAGTACGTCAGCGAATGATGAGTGATGACCATGATTAGGAAAAAAGATGATTACAAAAAAATTATAGTGACACTATAAGATAATGATTAGTTTGATAATAGATATAGAATGCTATACGACAATAATCTGGATTTATGATAAAAAAAAAAATTAAAAAAATTTTAACCACATCATGAAATCATAGTAACCATTAATTATATAGTGAATAATAAATAATAAACAGTTTAATTAATAATTTAATAATAATTAAGAAAATGTTATCATTTGGCAAAAGGCGAGGTACAGTACAAATTTCTGTAATTATTGAAAATAATTTAACATTAATTAACACAAATAACAATACATAATAAAAAAAATATATTTTATATAAATTTAGGCCTACATAAAGTACTGTATGCAGTAAATCAGTATGGTATATCAGTAATAGAGCAGACCGTTACTGCAAAATACTGATCCAATTTTGGATTGAGATTTGGATGTTTGATACCACACTCATTTTCATCAAAATCTTAATCGGTAAGGTTAAAACTTTTCACTTTTTTTGGAGATTGATATGGAATGACCCTAAAGTACCTTTCCAAGCAGGATGGAGAACTGCATTTTCTGATTTTTACAATAGAAGGGAACAAATATAGTGTACATTAGCTGGTTTATACTAAACCAACTACTACAGTATATTTGTATGCAATAAAGTAGCATAAAAGTTCAACCACAAAACACTTTACAAAATACCATAGTAACATAGCAGTAAAGGTTATTCATTTTTATATTGCGCAAAATACGAGAGTCTCTATGCGCAGAACAAGTGAGCAGACGTAACTGTAAAATAAAAAATAAAAAAAATAAAATTCAAGCCAGCACCCAAACCACAGTATGGTATATATTGGAATGTACAGCCAATAAATACATGGTCAAGGTTCTTCCTTTAAACAACAGAAAGCAATTTATAAGCGCGAATACAGATTTACTGTAATCTTCACACTAATGTTTCTAACTTGAGTAAATGTGAAATGGAATGACGATGAAAAAGTGTGAACTTTTATTTGCTTGAGTAGTTTGATATTAATGATCTTTATTTCCCAAGGTATCGCCAATTATTTCCTTTAAATATCAAATAGATCATAAAATTAGTATAAGGATACAATAACTGAAGTTTACAATAGATTTCAGATTAAACAAAATGTAGACTACAGTATTTTACTTTGTCATATTGATACCAACACTCAATGTGACACTTTATATAGGATAAGACATGACATCTGTTGCTTGGAGAACCTTTCAGGGCTGAAGCTACTGAATGACAGGACACACAATTATCAATATTCATATCTGACCACACATTCAAACTACATAGTTGCATTACCAACCATCTCGCATCGTGTGGGGTGCGGGACGGTCCCACATTTCAAATTGATTTTGGCAGAAACACATGCGTGATCCTAAATTTGGCACATATTTAGCACAAGCCTATGCGTGATAACGAATTATCACAAATTCAGGGGGAAATGTATTTAAAATTTAAAGAAATTGGTTTTATTAAAAATATAAAAAAGTTCATACAGTAACTTGAGTCATTAGAGAGTACAGTATTTACGTGAATACTTATTATGACGCGTTACTAAAAAGTGATCAGTAAAGAAATATTTGTGTGTGTATACATAGTTCGGGTGGGGTATTGCTAAACCCCGCAAACCTCCAAAAACACAGTGCAAACCCCATCCAAACCTTGTGATAATGATTGAATCACATACTATAGGACTCAACTTGGTATCTCAATAAAAAAAAATCTGAATTTTATGTTCGTCACAACCTATTTTTGGGGTAAAAAGGCCATTTTTTATATAAAAAAATTGCTAAACCCCGCAAACCCCCCAAAACACAGTTGCAAACCCCATCCAAACCCTGTGATAGTGATTGAATCATGTAGTATAGGACTCACTTGGTTTCTCAGTAAAAAAAATTACAATGTTCCATTCGTAACAACCTACTTTTTGGGTAAAAATGCCATTTTTTGTATAACAACATTGCTAAACCCCGCAAACCTCCAAAAAAACACCGCAAACCCCATCCAAACCCTGTGATAGTAATTGAATCACATAGTATAAGACTCAACTTGGTATCTCAATAAAAAAAAATCTGAATTTTATGTTCATCACAACCTATTTTTGGGGTAAAAAGGCCATTTTTTGTATAAAAAAAAATTGCTAAACCCTGCAAACCCCCCAAAACACAGTGCAAACCCCATCCAAACCCTGTGATAGTGATTGAATCATGTAGTATAGGACTCAACTTGGTATCTCAATAAAAAAAATCATAATTTTATGTTCATCACAACCTATTTTTGGGGTAAAAAGCCATTTTTTGTATAAAAAAATTGCTAAACCCCGCAAACCCCCCAAAACACAGTGCAAACCCCATCCAAACCCTGTGATAGTGATTAAAAATATTTTCTTATGTACCCGTATTGTCAACAAATATTCCCTGAAATCGTTTCAAAAGAACTTAAAATGCTCAGATCATCG